GGGCAGCGAGCCGCGGCGTCGGGCAGGGCCCTGCGGGCACCGGCCTCGGGCCCGGCCGTGACAGCGGCCCGGGAGAGCCGGAGAGCCCCGGCTGAGGTGGTGGCAGCGGGTTTGCCCTTGTCCCCGCTCTCCCGCGGTGCTGGTTCCCAGATTCCCTGACAGAGGCGCTGGCTGCCGCCCTGCCTTCCCACCTCGTCTGCCGCCACCCCCCGAGTGTCCTTGGCGACACCGGGAAGCGCTAATCTCTGTTTACGCCGTGGCGTTATCTGATTCACGATCTGGAAATTGCCTCCCTACTACTAAGTTTGGGAAGGCAGGAGAGGTGGGGAAGGCTTCTCGGCCGGCTCCTGCAGTGGGCTGCAGCAGGCGCCGTGTGCGAGTCGCTTCCCAGAGCTCTCGGTTCCCGCTATTGCCACATCATCAGCCCCTCTGACATCCAGGGAAAAGACCGTAAGGGGTCGGAGGGTGTGCTGGGCAGCAGATGGTAAAGGGTGCCTTACAGCCTATCTGTACGGTGTTCGTTTGTAATTTAAAACCTCCACACACACACCCCTTTATTTGTAAGAATTTTTGTAGAAGTTACATTTTTTATGCACTTACCAGTTTAAAACGTCAAATAAAATCACGCTAGGTAAGGCTTAGGTTAAGTATTGCACATTGTCGAGCAAAAGTGTTTGAGTGTGCCTTCTAAAGATACTTGAGAGGAGAGATTGTGTTTGCTCTTTCTAGCACTGTGACGGTTCTTAAGTCCTCGGGTACACTCGTCCTGCTCAAGGATTCCTGTTTCCCATGAAAATTTTTAAATATTTCTTATGAATTTTGTATTTATAGCAGCTAGGTCTCTTTTCAGACATATGTAAATCAGTCATCCATTCATTTCTACGCTTTCGTATTCAGAAAATGTTAAGTTTATTAAAAAAAACCCAAACCTGTAGTTCTGTGCACATGTTTTAGATCTCAGCCTTGCTTGCATGTGCTCTGAACTGCAAACAGACAGAACTTTGTCCCGTGGCCAGTATTTTTATTAATCATATTTGCCCAGTCTTTGAATGTATGAGGCTTGGCTCCACGAAAGCAAAGAGGCAGTGGACTATCAGATTGCACTTGTCTTGGAGCCTTGTTCTAGGTCACGTTTCTTTTCTGACTGGTGTTGTGGTTCTGTTGGATATATGGCTGTATATGATATTGAGGAGATCACAGCAAAAAAAGACATTATTTCTGTTTCAAAACTTGAGTGAAAATAGGTACCAAGGGAAAAAAAGTAACTTTTTGAGTGCTTTTCAAAGTGTTCTGTTATCATTGTGGTAATAGCTTGTTAGACTTGCTAGTCTTAGAAGAAACACTACTTAATAAGTTAACTTCTTGGCAATAGCAATGCCTTATTTTCACTTTTGTAATTGCAAAATTAAATTATTCTCATGCATTCTCATGCAATTCTCATGCATTGTTCAAAAATTGAACAATAGCTTTGAAAGGTACATCGGTTCCCTTCTGCTAATTTAGGCATTGCTGTGTGAATGCTGAACTTTTTGTCATCCAGCTGTAAATTTTTGGTTTTGAACTTCGTGGCAGATGAATGAGTAAGTGAGAAAGATTTTAGCAAAGGAATAAGGCTGAAAGATCAACACAGACATCATTTGAATAGGAGGATTTTTCAAATGAGGCTTTAAAACACTGTATTGGATAGGTTTTTGAGAAGTTCCTCAAACATTAGTTTGAGAATTGTACTTAAATGTCAGTTTTTTGTTGATTAACTAGACATTTAAAAGACTTTCTTGTATTTGCATTTTGTTTTGGTAGGCTCAGGTTTGTTAGTTGCAGCTCAAGATGCTACAGAAGATGAGGAAGCTGTGGAAGATACTATAGTTGAAGATGAAGATGACGAAGCTGAAGTGGAAGAAGATGAGCCAACAGACTTGGTAATTGCACATGAATGTCACTTCAAAAGTATGAATTAAACCAGAAGTGCTTGAAGCTGGATAACTTAAACAGAGTTTACTTACATTGCTATTTTCAGGTAGCTGTTTCCATGTATCTGATTAAGCTTGTGTTCAGTTGGAAGTGTCAGAAGGATTTACCTTTTCTTTCTGAATTACCGGTCAAAAAAACCACATGGGGAGAGCCTGATTTCTGACTTTCAAAACTGTTTGCCACAATAAAAAACCCCCACCAAGTGAGAGAACCACATTCTCATAGAAGCCCTCTGTAGTCCTTTCCTATCTGAAACTGCACATCAGTAAGCTGAGAAGAACACTGGGGGGTAGGACTACTTCATTCGTGCTTCTTTGATCTTGATTTCTAAGGGACAACAGTCTTAGTTAAGCTCAGAATGAATTCTGAAACTGTTGTTAAAAAAAATACAGCTAACTAAATTTGCAACACAAATTCAAAAAATTACCCAAAAAATCACAAACAGAAAAGTGAAATGTTTTACATAGTTTTGTGATCTGCTGATAGCAGTTGAGTGTTAGGCTTGCTAGACACTTAGTGTGCTAGGGTGGTACAAAATTTTCACGAATTTCTGATGTACATTAAGGAAGTTGGGGACATTATTAGGAGAAGACATACATAGTAAAAATGCAGATTTGGCAAGTGTTACTTGACTGTATGATATTTTACTGCTGTTGTTAAGTCAGTGAGTTTATGGTTGACCAGCTTTGCTAAGTTGTAAAAGGTATACCATGTCAGTACTGACAGAATATTATTAAATAACCTTTTGGATGTAATTTCATTTTAATAAATAGTCTACTACTCAGGTACAAAACAGGGTGCTTTTTAGGCACTTTCTCTTAATTGTCACTGAAATAAAAGATAGGGTTTTTCGTAGTGTCTTGGAATCAAGATGCTGCATAGTCAGCTCTGTCAGTTCCCTGGTTCATGGTATGTGTATGACTGATCCAGTAGAACTTCCATTGCTTCAGGAGGTTGTTTAACCACTGAAATCAAATGATCCAACTGACTTGCCAGCACTTAGCCGAGACTGTCCAATACCGGGTGAGCCTTGTTTTTGTCTGGTGGGGACAGTGATGATCCCCTTGTGGAAAGTAAGCCCTTAACGCTTGCATTTGGCAAATTGAAAAGTGAATCATCACAAGGTGAACTTGGAACAAGTGACTCCACGGACTTATGTAGTTCCAATAGCCTAACCATTTCCAGACATACATACCACTTAGCTAATTAAAACTGAATAGAAAGCTGTCATAAGCACTCCCTGTAGTGAAAGTAACTAATTTGTTTTATGGCTTGCTTTATTTTGGAAATGCTTGTTTTCTAACTAGAAATGGCTTAGATGTGAACACAACATTTAGATTCTATTCTTTCCACCTCCAAACAGAAGCCTTGCTTTTTGATTGCTTTTTGATTCTAAACCCTTCTGTAGAGGTAGACGTAGTTCAGATTAGTCACTGTGTCAAATATAACAAGTAGAAAGATAAGTGCTGAAAGGGATGCTCATCAAATCTGGAGGGAGAGCAGACAATGTGCTAATCCTGCAAGAGCAGGATTTGGTACAAATACTTGCCACTGTTGCATGCCTTGACACATGGGATTCTCATGAACCAAGCGTGGTTTTTGCTTCACTGTTCATTATAGGATTTTTCAAAAAAGTCTCTTGTCTTAGACAGAAGAAAAAGAGGAAGAAGACTTATCAGGAGAACCAAAAGCCTCACCTAGTGCTGATACAACCATCTTATTTGTGAAGGGTGAAGGTAAGAGTCCTCTGCTCATCTGCCATTCTCTTTACTGGTGCTTAGACTACATCAGTGTTTGCGTGAAACAGTGAAGCTCTAAAACCACAGAGTCTGTTCTAGATGCTCTCTGTTTAGAATTGGCTGTGTGTTGTGCATGAGGTTTCTAATGGTTGAATATTTTTTCTTTTGTGTTTCAGACTTTCCAGCGAACAACATTGTAAAATTTCTGGTGGGCTTCACCAATAAGGGTACAGAGGATTTCATTGTTGAGTCTCTGGATGCTTCTTTCCGATACCCTCAAGACTACCAGTTTTACATCCAGAACTTCACAGCTCTCTCTCTGAACACAGTAGTTCCACCACAGAGACAAGCCACATTTGAATACTCCTTCATCCCTGCTGAGCCCATGGGTGGTCGTCCTTTCGGTCTGGTTATCAACCTCAACTACAGAGATGCAAATGTAAGCCTGATGCTCTAATTCATTTGAATCTTTCTAGTTCATCTGGAGGTGTCAGGAAGGAACTACTTAGTCAAGTACCTCTCCAGAAAGTGAATGCCTCTGTAGTGTTTAAGCAAATCGGTAGATACATAAGCATAGCAAGTGATTGCCTGCATGCACTTGAAGTTGTATCAGCAGTGGAAGCTAGAGTGCCTTAGGACTGTAGTGGGCAGCAAAACATTTGTGCTTTTATGTGTTGATTGAAATTAGCACAACTTAAAACCTTAAAAATGTCTTGTGCTGGAGTTGCTGCTTTCTAGAATTTCTCCAAGAACACGGAGAAAGGTAAATGTGTACGTGTTGAAGAAACTAATTTAAAACGTTACATGCAAACTTTGTTCTAGGGCAACGTTTTTCAAGATGCTGTCTTCAATCAAACTGTTACAATTATTGAAAAAGAAGATGGGCTGGATGGAGAAACGTAAGGAGACTGGAGATCCAGGCTTAGTTCACTGGTAGAACGGGTTATTGGTGGTGCCAGTGAAAATAGTTCTTTTATTGTCATTTATTGAATGCTAGGTCTGCTGTCTTTTGTTTATGATGCAGCAGCATTTGACAGACTGAAAATACAAACTTTTCCCAAAATTAAGATCTCTGTTACTGGTGGGGATCTTCAGGACTGGTACTGTCTCAGTGAGAAATTTACAGATGTATTTTACCTCAGAGGGATTAAGCCTGGAATAGGACCTGATGTTATACAGCTGCATAGCAATTAAAAGCTGTTATGCTTTTCTTATGCTACTGTGCATTTTCCTAAGAGTTAAAAGATGCAGAGAGTCCATAGTATCAGTCTGTGGTTCCTGCTGTCAGGACTGGAATAGCTTTCTTCTGGAACACTGCAGTGTAATCTAAGATTACATAAACTAAAAGATGTATTAGGAGTACCAAAGCAAAGATTTGTATTTGGAGCAGCAAAGAATGACAAGAGTTCCTCTAACCCTGTCTGTAGTAGGTTTCTTTCAGGAGTGATTTTTTTTCAGGGACTTAGGTAGATCTGACACACCAAATATCTTCCAAGCATATGCTGTGCTAAAATGCTTTTGAGTATTATAGCACTGGAATGGAATTTTAAATGAAGCTGTGCATTAAAAAAGTTAATCTTCAGAAATACTTGTAGACAACGCTGAATATGTGGCTTGTCCTGCCACAGGTAGAAACTTCCTGTTAAGCAAGCTTCCTTTTAAAAAAAGTTATCCAAAATAAATAGCTGTTGTATTAATTTGTATTTCTCAAATACAATGGTTTATGAAAGAATGGTTGGTCATGTGAAAATGTGTGATACTCTGGAAAAGGAGCTCTCAGAACAATTCAAATACTAGAATCAGTTTGTGTGAGTATCTTGTGAACAGATAATTGCCCTATAACAGGTTCAATTAAATGTCTTCTTCAGTTTACCTCCATAATTTCCTTTATCATAAGTGAGAACTCAGATGTTCAGTTTGGAATAAGTTCTTTACCCATAAATTCCTTAATCCCCAAATCAATTTTAGCTATAATTTAGGTTTACCTCTTGCTAAGTATCAACAGATACTTCAGATAAAATTCTTAAAAACAAACCAGAATGCATGGATTCAAAAAATTGATTTTGTAGGTAGATTTCTATCTCTGGAACACAGAGCAAGGTAAGCAAGGTCTTTCAAAGCTCTGTTGCAAATTAATAGTGTTCTAGAAGTACTTGCTTTGCAATAGCATGCTAAAAGCTTGTAAAAGACTTTTAAGGGTTTTATAAATGATTAAAGCTGTCACAGACCTAAATATTGCCTGAGACCCAATGTCTTGAAACTTTGTGATAGTGCAAAAGAATTTGTGAAGTTACTAAATTTCAATATTTATTATAACATTTTTCTAATTTATACAGCATTTTTCAAATGTTCTGTTGTTCAGAATTAAATTTATGATTACAATTTCTAAAATCCAAGTCAGAATAATTGCGTGATAGTTGTTAGAACTTTAGTTTCAGATTCCTTCCTATTTTCCCCACTTGCCTCCTACAGAAGCTCTTGGGAAAGATTAAGTGAACGTGTGGCAAAAGTTAAGCTTAATTTCCATGACTCATAAACTGTCTTCAAAACTTGATGTTTTCAGTTAATGGTTTCTTAAACTGTTTTTTAAAGGATCTTCATGTACATGTTCCTGGCTGGACTTGGTCTGCTGGTCATTGTTGGCCTACACCAGTTACTAGAGTCTAGGAAGGTGGGTAGCATGTTTGTCTGTGTACTTGTTAATACTAGGTCTTTCTGATGTGAAAAGAAAGCAATTCAGTGACTGCTTCTGGCATGTGATAAAGGTAGAAGATTTATTTTTAGAACCTTAGGGGTTACTGGGGAAACTAGAGCGTTCTTAAAAAATGTTCCTAGTGGAAGATACTCTGAGCTCATGCCCTTTGAGTTGGAATAGCTTCCAATCACTAGATGTCTGTGTCTACTGATTCAGCACTTACTGGGTAGATTTTCCCCATGCTCTCTATTTCTGCCTGTTAGTTTAATCCAGGTCAGACTTCAGGGAAAAGCAGCTGTCAGTCCTTTATTTAGTTCTTAGCAAAGCTTTGCCATAATGTTGATTATTTTGCAGTCACATGTGAGAATATTGTGTTAACCTGAGAAAGCAAAACTTGTCATCACAAAGTTATCACCAGCAAAAGGTATAATGAATTTGCCCAGGTGTGCATGAAATCTTGGTGACTTTATGTGGAATAAGTGTTGTAAGGTGTTAGAAGCGGTGATACAAAGCTTAGGGGAATAAATTGCTAATGGGAAAGACAGCTCTGTGCATTAACTAACCTAAAGTTCGCACCTTAGTGAAATAATTAATTCACTAAATGTAGCATTTTTAGTAATTTCTAATACTTGTGCTGTCCAAGTCTTAAAAGAAAAATCTTTCTTCTTTCATTCTTTTTCAGAGGAAAAGACCGGTACAGAAAGTAGAGATGGGAACATCAAATCAGAATGATGTTGATATGAGCTGGATTCCCCAGGAAACTTTAAATCAAATAAGTAAGTGGTCTGCCTTTCACAAACTAGACCATAACACACTTAACTTGACCAGCTATTTGTAACTGAATAAGCAGCTGATACCAATTTCTTAGAACAGCATATGTCTTCTAAGGAATAATAAATTCTCAGGCACTGTGCTTAAGGATTAGATTGTTACTTTAGCAGTGTATTCCTTGTAGAACAAACTTCATTGGTTGATAAAATAATGGCGTTTGATGACTTACAATTTGTTCTGTAGAATATTTTTCAACAGCGTAAGATCTCTACCCAAAATCTGGATTGCAAAGCTGGTTTAAATAGGACAAAGTAGCTGTCATCTCAGAGTTTCTGTAAGTTGTTTGGAAGTTAACCTATAGACCAAAGTCTTAAATAAGCATCATAAGTGTGTTTTAACATGAATACTTGTTACTGATATCCTTCACAAATCCGAAAGTTCTACTTGCTACCTGAAATGCCAACACTAAACCAAATAGTAGGCTGTGGATATTTCTAACTTCTCTTACTCTTTCTTCTCTTTTGCTTTCCCATGGCTTCAGTGCAGAGTAGAAGAGGTGAGGCAGACTCTTGTGAGCTGCAGAGTGAAAAGTACTTAATGTGTTGTCCATGTACTAATTAGGCATGGATAGAAGTACAGCTTCCTGCATGCTGTGACTGGTGATGTAGCATGAGCAGTGAAAGATGCAGAACAGATGCATGCAATGGCATGCATTTTATATCCTTCTAAATGTATGTTCTCATGCATTTTGTGGATATATTTCTGGTTATATTGTAGAAACATAATTTCAGTAGAATATTGCTGAAGTATTGTTGTCTTTTTTCACAGTTCCCAGAATTCTTTTCCTAAGAGGCAGATGTTTATCTTGCCTTCCCATACCTTGGTGTATCAGGCTGATAAACTCCTGTCCTCAGCAGCAGTTACTGGTGTGGGGTGAGAAAGCCTCAATGAAGTGCAGTGAATCCTACATGAGATGCAAAGAGTTCAAAAACCCTTTGCAGGAGCCACCCTTATTTGGCAAAGACTGCTGTTTTGATCAAATAAGCACATTCTAAGCTTCATTTGGTGTGGAAGGGCTAGAGGCCTCAGCTGTGATATGAAGTTGTGCCAGGAGTTGATGACTTCATGCTTTTTAAAATTCCTTTACCCTTTTTAAGAGTACTTATACAACATATGTATAAAGACTAGTGGTTTACTTGGGAAGGTAAAAGCTTTCCTGTACACTTTCTTATGTGAGAGGCTAGAATAGTACAAAATCCCAACACAGGAATTCGAAAAGCCTCGATCTAGCAAAAAAACCTGAAGGTCAAATACTACTTTTTGCTAAAGAGTAAGGTGACTTTAAAAGGGTTCAAATTCTGGTAATGTTTAGGCCCTGACACCATCCTTTTCTTAAGCCAAATAGGTATTCATCTGTTAATACCTGAAGTTTAGGGAAAACTAATGGTTAAGTTGTTCTTAATTGTGGTTTTTTCAGCTCCAGATCGGTTTCAATTGCAACTCTATACTAGAATTCTTTAAAATACATGACGTTCAAGATCCTGACTTTTTTATTATTGGCACTTCATACTGTACTGATTGGTCTGTAAGGACATGATGGCTGCTCCTTGTGTTTGCACATGCTCTAAACAGGGAAGTTGTTGGAGATCACTTAGCAATCACTTCAGTATTACATCCAAAGTATTGAAGCTTCTCTGCAGTAATCATAGAACCATAGAATGGTTTGGTTTGGAAGGGGCCTTAAAAATCATTCAGTCAAGTGTGGATGCTTCCTGGAAAAGTGCAGTTTTCCACAACAAAGACACTTTTCTTCTGCTGTTAGTTGTATGAGCGTGGAAATATTACATGCAAGACATGGCTGTCTAAACAAGAGTCATTCTTGTATTTTTCAGGCATGTAAACTCAAGGCAATGGCCATCAAAATAATTCATTTAAATTTCTATAAGTGTCATTACCAAGCATGAACATTTTTTAAGCAGCAGAGCCATCATTTTCACATAGGGATGGTGTTGTGGGGTTGGTTTTTTTTGCATTGTAGTAACTGACAAATAGAACAAACCTTACCCTGTTGTTGCATGTTACAGAGTGGAAATGTATTTTTTTGGTACCTTCTATTTAGGGTGCTGGTAGTTAGAAAGTCTTAACAAGTTGTTTGAATTGGCTTTTCTGTGGTGATGCATTGCACTAGAAGGGCAGCTTGTCCTGTGTTTGGAAGGAGAAAAATACATGCTCATGTAACAATTGCAATTGATGCAACTATCTTTTTTTTCTTTTTTCTTTTTAATCCTAGATAAAGCTTCACCGAGGAGGTTGCCCTACAAGAGGGCACAGAAGAGACCAGTGGGCTCTGATGAGTAATGTTAACTAGTGCAACAGTTGAACCTTTACTAATTCTGCCTGTTTGGTTTTTTTGGATTGGAGTAGTGCAGAGAACCCATATCACCATAAGGAAAATACTGCTAAACATTTGGACTGAACAGATTAACTGAATGGTGTTAATATTACTGAAAATGCACTTCTCTTTGAATTTTTTTTTTTTTCTAATTGTTTGGGGTGGGGGGGAGGTAGCCATTAAGATTTGTGCCTGCGTGTGTAAGCGGTTGGTCTTAACAGAAACATGTTACCTGAAATGTGCCTTTAGAGTTCTTTGTAATGCTGGCTTGTCATCTGTACATTGTCATTGAAGGATTTTTCTCCTCTCCCTAATCTGAATGTCTGGTGACTTTAATCTGTCTTGATTGTATCATATCTGTATCAGAACCTGAACACATTGTTCTTATTCAGTAAGTAACCTTACTCTTTACAAGGTGCGCACACTGAAGTTTGTGTGTGTGGTCCTGTCTCAGTGGCCAGGCACTGATCATCTCAACTTCTGCATAGTTTTCATTCTAAAGGCACAATTGGGTATAGCTGCTTGTAGTGGTAGATATATTGCTGCTGTCTTGATCTGGGCATGCAGTGACCTAAAAATCTGAACTTAGCTGCATAGATGTTAGGAAGACTCTTGCACAGCAGCAGAACTTGTGAAGCATGGAATTTGTGTGCTGAATTGGTATTACTACATAAATTTCTTTTTTATACCCAATTTGTTAAATGGTTAGTTATTGAATTGTGCCAGCATCGTAGGTATTCAGATTATAGTGGTAGTTCTGCAATGTTTACTCAAGAAACTGTTGAATAAGCCAGAACAACTTTTTAGTGAGTTCTTGGTTATCTCTCCTAAGAACTAGAATGTCATATGTATCAAAATGCCAGTTTATTTTTTTTAAAGCTTTACAAGGATTTGCTGTACACACTTGAAACTGAATTTGAGAAACTGTTGGCTTCAAATAATTATTTTTATTGGCAAACTATTTAATTCATTTATAATTAATTTACAGCTTTTGAATCTGAGACAGCTTTACACTGGTCAGTACATTGATCTGAGTTTTTTTTCACTTTGTCTTTCTTAACTAGTAACATGGATGCATATTCATCACTAGCTGCATGTTGGTTCAGTAGTCAAGCAGAAAAGCTGTATGCAAAATCAAAACAAGATTTCCTTTTGTGGCTTACATGATTACCAGGTACTGAGGTATTGATCCACATCCACTGTGTTCAGGAATTAACTGACAGAATTAAGAGCCAATATGCAGAAGATGAGTTTGCTTGGGCAAGGTTTGAACTGTTTGCATCTCCACTGCCTCTCTTTCTATGTCTGAATGCTATCTGAAAGCTCGTTGAGTTCAGGAAGAGGCATACATTTGAGGCTTCTGTTGTCTTCCTCCATTTCCTGATCCCCACCTGTGAAAATGCCCTTTTAGTTCCACACTTGGTCTGCAGGGACTGAACTTCTGAGCCAATGAATGCTGAGCAGTCCTTCCACAGTATGTTTGAAGCATCCAGGCTCTGAAACTACCTGTGCTGGGACTATTTTGTTACACATCTTGCCAGAATGAACTGTGAAGATGTTCTTGACTCTTACTGCTGTGGAAGAGATGTTTTATTCAACTTCCTGAAAATACAGCTAGCCCAGGCAGGATATTTTTCGCAGTTAGTGTTGCTTAGCTGTCATTCAGATCACTTAGGAAACAGTTGAGTGCTGCCCTCATAAGGGGTATCTCCACTCAAATTGTGTGGAACAGCTTTATTTGCCTTTAGTGATATAATCTGACTGGTTCTGTGGTAGGTTAGCAGGCTTGTGTTCCAGCTTGCATTGACTCAACAGAGTGTTTATGGATTAAATGCTTCCTATGCTGAAGACCCATAGTGATTGCAGCACCTGATGCACTGAGCTTGGAAAGTTCCCTCTCTTGGATTATGTCTCTAACCTGGCATTGAGAGGGGCTTTTTTCACATTCTTGTAACAGGTCATCTTGAACTGTATAATCTTAATTCTTCCCAAGATTTAAAGGTACTCTTTGAGGGAGTGGTGACGATACAGTGGTACGCCAGGAAAAAAGACAAATTTTAGTTTTATTTGTACAAATCAGAAGTATTTGAAGGCTGAGCTCTCTTCTTTGCACTCAGTGGGTGACTTCCAAATGCTTAAGTTCTAAGCATGAAAGAAGAGTGAAGGCAGCTTGCACTGGAACCAGCAGTGGGAAAGTCCAGGTGTCCCAAGGCTGTTTCTCTGATGATACAACTTGGCATTCACTGTAGATGGTTCATAGTGACTTTTTTAGCCAGAAGCAGTTCATAAGAGCAGGGGCCAGTAGATCACTGCTGCTCATGATGAATGTAGTAGGATTTTTTAATTGCTTGTTTCTCATTAATTTGCTGTAGTTGAAATTCAGCAGTAACATTCCAGCATGCAGTGGTAACTGAACACTGGCATCTCTAGTATTACTTCTAGTGAATAAGCCAGTCTATTACACTCATTTTTTTAAAAATTGGGGACATGTAGTTGTTGTTTTATCCTGTTGGTTAGAAACTTTCATTTTGGTACTTGAATTTTCTACTCAGTTTTTAAACAGGGATAGCTTAGTGTCACAGGTATCTTGCTGGATGTCATTATTATTATCAGCTGAGTAGGGTGTAGTTTTGCTACTTAAAGATGAGGCTGCAGCAATTCTGCCTGTCTATGCCACCCATTTCCATTTGGCAGCTCAAGCATATGTATAATCCAGCATTCTTACCAGTTCTCAGCCAGCTTACTGCACTGCCACACAATTGTTCCTGGAGGGTTCTGAGAAGAGTGACAACTGTAAAAGAAGCTGTGGGTTGGGGTTTCTTTATTAGTAAAAGATGTTGAAATGGTTTTGGAGAGCAAGTGGACTATGGGCTTCGAGTGAATTCCTTTCTCAAAGCTCCTTAACTTACTCAAAAAATTATGAAGACCTAACAATTCTACACTTGGGGTAGGAAAACCAGCTTTGGAGTTCACATCTACAGAAGCAGCAAAGCATTAATTTAGGCTACCCTTGAACTGCATGTGATACCTGTAGCCCTCTATGCAGTCTGTTTTCTGGCAGTAGTTCATTTTTTTCCCCAGTATTCTTCAGTCAGAGAAAGAGGAGTGGCTGCTGCCAGACTAAAGGATCGAAGTTCATTCTCCACATACAAAATTAAGTTGTAGGCTGTGGAGCAAGATGGAACAGACTAGAGATGGCAGTGCTTCTGCTTGTTCCGAAACATTTGTGCTGAACACCTTTTCCTTAGCTTGGAAAAGGTGTATTCCAAAGTATCATTTACTGGTTATTCCTACGATGCATGGTGCTAAACAAAATGTTTTAGATGAGAGCTCTGGATCCAGGGAAGTCAAATACTAAAGTAGGCTGTTGTCCTGTTTTTCAGTGTGCTTGGTGTACTGAGCAGTAGAGAGTCTGTTCTGTTTTCTTCTCCAAGGGAAGGGCAGTACCTACCTCATAGGAGTGACATAAGGGCTGTTTAACGAGTGTTTTGAGGTTATTTGAGACTTGCACAATACACTTCCATGGAGATAGTAAGACACAGCACTAGTGTAGATGGTTGGCAACTGTACACATAGATCCATACTGTACTAATTTAATCCCCTCACTGACCAGAATTTAGCAGCTTTACACTTTGACATTTCTAAAATACGCAGAGGAGTTGCAGTTAACATACAGAGGAAAACAAAGCCAGAAAGATCTCTTAGTTTCTGAAAAAGTTTATAGGTGGGCTAAGTAACATTCTCCTGACATTTTTCCATTTATCTCTAAATTTTCCTAGGGATCTTTTCTAATCAGTTGATACAGATGATTGTTTATGTAGCTACAATCAACAGTCAACTTAAGAATGACTGATTGTTTTGGATTATTTTCAGGTGATGTACTGCAACTGAAGTGTTAAATTATCATTTAATTTCTTACCTGCTGACTTGCATTTATAAATGAGATCAGATCTCTTGAAAACAGCTGCAGGTTTTTTGTAAAGTATACTTGATTTTTTTTCTTAGCATTGTGTAGCTTTTTTTTTTTTTTTAAATAAAGCATGAGTATGGCACCAAGAAAAGGCCTTTTCCTTGATAAGCAAATGGTAGTAGCAAATATGCAAAGTGTGAAAACATGACATTCTTAAAAATCTGCTTTTCTACATGTGTAATTGGAATAGAACAATATCGAGCAAGTACTCTGTGATGTTTTGGACAATGGATTAATAATTAAGATTAGAATTCTTTTAAGGGAGGGCCCAGTAAATTCCTGAATCCTGATGGGTTAAAAGTGACCCATAATACCCTACATTTCTAGAAGGAATAACCTCTTGTTAAACCATAGGCAGCATAAAAAGGATCTGTTAAGATGCTTAAAGGTTGCTGAAGCACAAGGCCAAATGCTTACAGTTTTTACGTGCATGCTGTTGTGTGACCAAGCAAACACTCACATTCCATGCAGTAATTCCAAAAATAGCAGTTCCAGCAGGTGTTCTGCATCCAAACAGAAGAAGGTAAGACTTGCTGGGGGGAAAAGAGCCAACAAAAAACAAGACAAAAAAGGCTTAAAAATAAAGGATGCTGGGACCCCTGTATTGGTAAACCGTATCTGTGGGTAAAAGCGGGAAAAATTACAAGCAGATGTATTGATGTGTGTTTAGGTCCCAGAACACATAGAAATGACTCTAGAATTTGAAGCCTGCCTCATCTTTCACTGAAAATATCAAGATAGATAGCTTGCAATAGCTGGCTTAGAACAGATACCAAGACCAAGATGAAGTCTTAAGAATCTGTCTGGCTGTCTTTTCTGTCCCCTCGTGTAAATAGTCTTGACTATATATTAACTAAGATGCAGTAAAATTTCAGCATCACAACATGCCAGCCCCTCAGCTGGTGAGGTAAAGCTGAAATTTAACCTGCCTTTCCTCATCACTCTCAATCTGTTTAGCCATGTGGAAATCACAAACTGAGTTTTCCCAGTGC